CTCTCACATACATACACACACTCACTTACACACAAACACACACACTTACTTACACACACAAACTCACTCACTCACTCACTCACTCACACACATACACACACTCACTTACACACAAACACACACACTCACTTATACACACACACACACACTCACTCACTCTCTCACACACATACACACACTCAAAAACACACACGTCATCACAACTACATGTACAAATTCACAAACACTTCATCACAACTACATGTACAAATTCACACACACTTCATCACAACTACATGTACAAATTCACACACACTTCATCACAACTACATGTACAAATTCACACACACGCACACACACACTCACGCACACACACACACAATTCTGCCAACACAATTCTACCTGTAACTTTTGACTAAGACCACCAAAAATCCCCCCCTGTGATGGTAAATACTGAGTGTGTGTGTGTGTGTGTGTTTTCTCCCAGGACCCCCTGGAGTTCCCGGCTCACGAGTTGAGGAAATATTTCCGTATGGGCGACCACGTGAAGGTGATCGCGGGTCGATACGAGGGCGACACCGGCCTCATCGTCAGGGTGGAGGAGAACTTCGTCATCCTCTTCTCTGACCTCACCATGCACGAGGTAACTGAGGGGAAAAGGTGTTCAAGACGTTGTTAAAGGCTAACTTAAAGGGGACCTATTGTGCAAAATCCTCTTCTACATCAACATGTGTCCCCTCTTCTTCATGTCTCTTCTACATCAACATGTGTCCCCTCTTCTTCATGTCTCTTCTACATCAACATGTGTCCCCTCTTCTTCATGTCTCTTCTACATCAACATGTGTCCCCTCTTCTTCATGTCTCTTCTACATCAACATGTGTCCCCTCTTCTTCATGTCTCTTCTACATCAACATGTGTCCCCTCTTCTTCATGTCTCTTCTTCATCAACATGTGTCCCCTCTTCTTCATGTCTCTTCTACATCAACATGTGTCCCCTCTTCTTCATGTCTCTTCTACATCAACATGTGTCCCCTCTTCTTCATGTCTCTTCTCCATCAACATGTGTCCCCTCTTCTTCATGTCTCTTCTACATCAACATGTGTCCCCTCTTCTTCATGTCTCTTCTTCATCAACATGTGTCCCCTCTTCTTCATGTCTCTTCTTCATCAACATGTGTCCCCTCTTCTTCATGTCTCTTCTTCATCAACATGTGTCCCCTCTTCTTCATGTCTCTTCTACATCAACATGTGTCCCCTCTTCTTCATGTCTCTTCTACATCAACATGTGTCCCCTCTTCTTCATCAACATGTGTCCCCTCTTCTTCATGTCTCTTCTTCATCAACATGTGTCCCCTCTTCTTCATGTCTCTTCTACATCAACATGTGTCCCCTCTTCTACATCAACATGTGTCCCCTCTTCTTCATGTCTCTTCTACATCAACATGTGTCCCCTCTTCTTCATGTCTCTTCTTCATCAACATGTGTCCCCTCTTCTTCATGTCTCTTCTACATCAACATGTGTCCCCTCTTCTTCATGTCTCTTCTACATCAACATGTGTCCCCTCTTCTTCATGTCTCTTCTTCATCAACATGTGTCCCCTCTTCTTCATGTCTCTTCTACATCAACATGTGTCCCCTCTTCTTCATGTCTCTTCTACATCAACATGTGTCCCCTCTTCTTCATGTCTCTTCTTCATCAACATGTGTCCCCTCTTCTTCATGTCTCTTCTACATCAACATGTGTCCCCTCTTCTTCATGTCTCTTCTTCATCAACATGTGTCCCCTCTTCTTCATGTCTCTTCTTCATCAACATGTGTCCCCTCTTCTTCATGTCTCTTCTACATCAACATGTGTCCCCTCTTCTTCATCAACATGTGTCCCCTCTGTGTAAAGAGACTCTGAAAGTTTCAGGAACAAAGATTCTCTCTCTTTTTGATCCATTTCTATAAAAACCTGTCTGAAAATGAGCTGATCAGATTTTGGACACTTGATGATGTCATAACGATGTTTTGTCTTGTGTAACCATTAGCCAATCAGCAACCAAGGTAACCCCCCCCCCCCCCCCCCCCCCCCCCCCCCCCCCCCCCCCCCCCCCCCCCCCCCCCCCCCCCCCCCCCCCCCCCCCCTTATCACCTGAATCTCCTCCTAGAGCACCATTGAGTTCTTTTTAACCAAATCTCTCTCAGAGGGGCGTGGGGAGGGGCTCCTTATTTTCATCTAAAGTAACAGACAGAGAATCAGCACTTTGGAAACAGGGCTGAAACAGAGAGGATTATGGGTAATGCTGCAATGATCTGTTTGGTGTTTCAGCCAATCAGAGACAGGCTCTGTATATATCTGAGACCTGTGATATGTTGATGAAGAGGAGGATAATAGGGGACCTTTAAGTGAAAACTAAAATGGTCATCCAATGTTGTGTGTGTGTGTGTGCAGTTGAAGGTGTTACCCAGAGACCTGCAGCTCTGCTCGGAGACGGCTTCCGGGGTGGATGCGGGGGGGCAGCACGAGTGGGGGGAGCTGGTGCAGCTCGACCCTCAGACGGTCGGGGTCATCGTCCGTCTGGAGAGGGAGACGTTCCAGGTAACGGGGCTGAAACAGAGGGATATGAGGGATGTCTAAAATGCATGATCTGTTTGGTATTTTGAGCAAAACACATCATAGACTTTTTTTTAAATATATTTAAATATATCTGACACCCATAATATATGGTTTGAACTTATTCGATGGAGTTGTATGGTTCTGAAACCCTGATCTGGATGTTTTGTGCGCTCTCAGGTGCTGAACATGCACGGGAAGGTGATGACGGTGAAGCATCAGTCGGTGAACCGCAGGAAGGACAACCGCTTCGCCGTGGCTCTGGACTCGGAGCAGAACAACATCCACGTCAAGGACATCGTCAAGGTCATCGACGGCCCACACTCGGTGAGGATCATTTCTGTCTCCATAAACTCAATATTTATCTCCATGTCACATACCTCCCATAGCTGAGATGCTGCAGCTTGTAACATGTTCAATGACACAACGTTAAATGGGGTTTTCTGTGAATGATATAAAATGTGTATGACTAACACTAGACTCAAATATCACATATTTAAGACTGAAATAACTGAAAGTTGAAATAGTTATCTTAGACTTAGACAGGACTGGAACTAAATTAAAATATTAAGGGTTTTCTTTCACTAACTTGATTTAAATAGTTAAGAGATACTTTGACTGTTACGGACCGTCCACACAGCAGCGTTAAAAAAATCTTGAAACGCTTCTGCCCATTCACTTTGAATGGGGTGACGTCACTTCGCCTCACTTTTCGCCGAACTGCATTGTGGGAAGCAGAGCGGAGATTTTCAGGATTTTCAGGATTCAAAGTTGAGCAATGTTCAACTTTTGAAGCTGAGGTGGAAGCGTCAGCCAATCAAATCCCGTGTATGCAAATCTGACAGTTCAAGCTCTAGCCAATCAAACGGCGTGTAAGCTGGGAGAGACATACCGCAGGTCATTTCCTCATATTCCAAAACATGGAGGAGAAATGAGCGGTAGGGAATCACCCGGTGCTTTATGACCAGTCCCTATTTACCTACCGGGATACAAACCGGAGGAGCCAGGCATGGAGGGAGGTGGCAGAGACAGTGGTATGTTTTCGCCTGTTTGGGGAGTTTATATCCAGTTTACTTCAAACTGTTTTGCTTCGTATGTCGGGGGCGGGAGATTCATGTGATTGGTTGTTGGTGCCTTGCTCGCAAAAAATCCCCAAGCTTCAGATACGCCCACCTCCAAGATATTTTTAACGCTGCTGTGTGGACGGGCCGTTATAAGATTCAAGCTTCAAAGGTTGTATTGTCATATAAGCTACAGTGTAGAAATGGCAATGACCATCTTCTGACCTGAGCTCCAACAATGCAACATATATTTTTATTTTAATGGTTTATTTGGCAGGGACAATGCACGGTGATGAACACTTAAAACATCAAAAATGTGTCAAGCGTAACACAGTGCCAGATTTAGCTTTGAGCTCATTTCCATCCGCAGTCCCTCACACCCTTACTTTAAAAAATAGTGCAAGAAGTCTATAAAAATGTGATATACAAGAAAAGAGTGTCAAATGTAATATTGTCCAGTAAGATGAAATAAAATACGGTTTATTACGCTGATAACTATTTAAATAAGTAAACTGCAAGATGAAGAACAGATGAAGGAAATGACTAATGTAAGACACACATTGGGTAAAGATCAGAGCGCTCTTTTCTGTTGTGTCTCAATAATAAACTGTTGTTGTTGTTGTTGTTTAAGCAGAAGAACATTTTTTGAGGATTAGCTTTGCACTTTTCCCGTCAGTGATTCGAGGCTTTAGGAATGTGTTAAAGGAAATGACTCGGGAAGCATCGTGTGAGACCTTTCTTTAAGTGTCTACATGAAGAGTCATGCTCTCTCTCTTCTCTTTACTCATATCGGAAATGTTTCTTGCATCATAGCGAGAACAAGTAAACACACATGTTGACGACACATTTTAACGTTTCGTGTCCTTAAACGCACTTTAATCTCTTTATCAGGTCTTTCTGACCCCTCAAAGCTCTTTACATACGAGTCATCCATCCATACCTCATTCATACAGCACACACACACACACACACACTCACACACACACTCACACTGTCTCACACACACACACACACACACACACACATACACATACACATACACACACACACACACACACATACACACACACACACACACATACACATACACACATACACATACACATACACATACACACACATACACACACACACACATACACACACACACACACACACACATACACACACACACACACACTCTCTCACACTCACACTCACACACACTCACATAAACTCTCTCACACAAACACACACACACACATACTCTAACACACACTCACACTCACACACACACACACACATACTCTAACACACACACACACATACTCTAACACACACACATACTCTAACACACATACATACTCTAACACACACACATACTCTAACACACACACACACACTCACACACACACACACACTCACACACTCACACACCCACACACACTCACACACACACCACCACACACACACACCACGCACACACACACACACACACACACACGCCACACACACACACAGACGCGAACACACACACACACAGACGCTAACACACAGACAGACGCAACACACACACACACACACTAAAAACACACACACAACTAACACACACACACACACCACACACACACACACTCACATACACACACACACTCACACTCACTCTCTCACTCTCACACACATACACACACACACATACACATACACATACACATACACACACACACACACACACACACATACACACACACACACTCTCTCACACTCACACTCACACACACTCACATAAACTCTCTCACACAAACACACACACATACTCTAACACACACTCACACTCACACACACACACACACGCACACATACTCTAACACACACACACATACTCTAACACACACATACATACTCTCACACACACACTCACACACACACACACACTCACTCACTCACACACACACTCACACTCACTCTCTCACACACACACACACGCACACGCACACTCACACACTCTCACTCTCTCTCACACACTCACATACTCACATAAACACACACTCTCTCACACACACACACAGACATACACACATTCAGACACACATTCAGACACACACACACACAAACATACACACTCACACACACACTCACTCACTCACTCACTCTCTCACTCACTCTCACACTCTCTCTCTCACACACACACACACACACACACACACACACACATACTCACATACTCACATAAACACACACACTCTCTCACACACATTCAGACTCACACACACACACACAAACACAAACATACACACACTCTCACACACTCTCACACACACACACATACACACACATTCACACACACACTCACACACAAACATACACACACACGCATACACACACATACTCACACACTCTCACATACACACACACACACACAAACATACACATACACATACACACACACATACACACACATACACACACACTCACACACTCTCACACACACACACAAACATACACACACTCGCACACATACTCACGCACACACTCACACTCACACACAAACACTCACACACACACACACTCACTCATGGACCTGACAACATCTGCGGTCGTTTACTTAAACTTTGCGCAAAAGAACTTAGCCCTGTGTTCCACTACATTTGTAATATGTCTTTACAGACACAGCATGTACCAAAGGCTTGGAAGGATGCTGTGGCAGTCCCTGTTCCCAAATCCAGAGGCCCCAAAACTCTTAATGGTTTTAGACCAGTTGCACTTTCATCAATTCTAATGAAGACATTGGAAAAACTAGTCAGAGCAGAGATGGTAAGGAAGACTGAGCATGCATCGCTCCCATGCAGTCTACAGGCCACACAGAGGAGGAGAGGATGCCACGGTCACCTTACTTCACTTACTTTTTAAACACTTGGAGGGAATGCTAGACTTTTATCTGTTCATTTTTCCTCTGCTGTTAACATAATTCAACCTCATATTTTAATTGGCAGACTTTTAGAACAATTTGAAATAAGCAATAATCTCATGGGCTGGATTCTTGATTTCTTAACCAATAGGACACAAAGAGTGAGGGGACCTAATCTGATCAAATCAGCTCCTCCACTGGCTCCCCACAAGGATGTGTCCTTTCGCCACTATTATTTATACTTTACACTAATATGTGTCAAAGTAGGTGGGAAAATAGGACTATTTAAAAGTATGCAGATGACTGTAATTGTTAGTAGGCTCCAGGACAATGAGACCCTGTCATTGACGACTTTGTCAGGTGGCTCTCGGGGCGGATCGATTTTGAATTGAGCCGCCCCCTCATAGATAATATCTCTTTACGTTAGTGATGGGAATTCCGGCTCTTTGTAGTGAGTCAGTTTACCACGGAGCCGCTCGCAGTTCACGCGCGTGCTCCACTAGCACCCCCCCCCCGCCCCCGCTCATCGCGTCCAAATCGCGCACGTTCCGTGTTGTCCTGTGGCAGGCACCGCCGATGTCGGGGAAACGATCTTCAATACTCCGAAAAGAATCCCAGCAGACTCCTTCGCCCCTCCAACAGAGGGATGTCCTTGTCCTTTTTCCCTTTCGTCATTTCAAGCGATAAAAACTCTGGATCTCGGCTCGAGTTCAGGGCGTCCCGAGCTGAATAATGGCGTCAAATGACGGCAAGACGCCCCCCTGGCTCAAACGCTGGAGCAGGGTGTACTTTTTATTAGAGATTTGTTTGTTTTTAGTGTCAGGATGGATCCTTTGTCTTTTTCTCTGCAAACAAAATCTACCTACTGTTAAGGAATAATTCTTCTAGATATCTAACCTTTTGCTCTGTGACGTTTTATGATCTCCTCTGACGTCTGTTATCTCCTTTAAGGAAAGGCCTTGGCGCCATATGTGTTGTTGTTACCAGTTTGTGACCGGTCAACTTGTCTGGCACGAAGGGTAATTGTTGTGAGAACGCTGAGGCACTTCCTTATCGGTGTTTGTGGGCTCTAAGATGTGAAATCTTTGAGGCCATGAGTGGCGGACGCAGGTGGTTCAGTGTTCCCAGCTGTTTAGTCTACTCCTTCAGAGATGTTGATTACTCTCTGTGAACCAGTCTAGCATAGAGAGAGGCTCTTCAGAATTGACGTGGCAACTCTCCCGTGAAGTCAGAACCTCTGACTCTTTGACTTGTGATGTGAATCCTCCGGCTGATACTCTGAATAAACCCATCAGTGTTTGACATCAAAGCTCCAACTCTCACCGTGTCTCCTTCCTGAGTCGGTGACTCATTGCTACACAGAAGTTTCCCCCACACCTACGGGTACAAATAAAGAACCTGAACCCTAACCCTGGCACTCAGCCACAGTCTGGGCTTTTTTACCAACTGATTTGAAGTGTCTGCAGCACTTAAGTCATATTGTTTGTTTTTGTAAAGCCCTTTGAATTGCCTTGTGTTGGATTGTGCTGAAAAATGTACTTGCCTACTTTTAATACTTATGTGCAGTTTTTGTTTGGTTTCCTAATGAAGTGTCTCAGCACCCTAAGGTCATTGTCTGTCTCGTGTTTCCTCCTCAGGGTCGCGAGGGGGAGATCCGTCATCTGTTCAGAGGATTCGCCTTCCTCCACTGTAAGAAGCTGGTGGAGAACGGGGGCATGTTCGTCTGCAAGACCCGACACCTGGTGCTGGCCGGAGGGTCAAAGGTCAGTGAGACACAACCCAGGTCTGTTAGAGAGAGAGAGAGAGAGAGAGGGGGGGCAGGAATGAGTCCTTAAAGGTCACCTATTCTGCAAAGTCCACTTTTTCCTGTCTCTTCTACATCAACATGTGTCCCCTCTTCTTCATGTCTCTTCTTCATCAACATGTGTCCCCTCTTCTACATCAACATGTGTCCCCTCTTCTTCATGTCTCTTCTACATCAACATGTGTCCCCTCTTCTTCATGTCTCTTCTACATCAACATGTGTCCCCTCTTCTTCATGTCTCTTCTACATCAACATGTGTCCCCTCTTCTTCATGTCTCTTCTCCATCAACATGTGTCCCCTCTTCTTCATGTCTCTTCTTCATCAACATGTGTCCCCTCTTCTTCATGTCTCTTCTACATCAACATGTGTCCCCTCTTCTTCATGTCTCTTCTACATCAACATGTGTCCCCTCTTCTTCATGTCTCTTCTACATCAACATGTGTCCCCTCTTCTTCATGTCTCTTCTTCATCAACATGTGTCCCCTCTTCTACATCAACATGTGTCCCCTCTTCTTCATGTCTCTTCTTCATCAACATGTGTCCCCTCTTCTTCATATCTCTTCTACATCATGTGTCCCCTCTTCTTCATGTCTCTTCTACATCAACATGTGTCCCCTCTTCTTCATGTCTCTTCTTCATCAACATGTGTCCCCTCTTCTTCATGTCTCTTCTACATCAACATGTGTCCCCTCTTCTTCATGTCTCTTCTACATCAACATGTGTCCCCTCTTCTTCATGTCTCTTCTACATCAACATGTGTCCCCTCTTCTTCATGTCTCTTCTACATCAACATGTGTCCCCTCTTCTTCATGTCTCTTCTACATCAACATGTGTCCCCTCTTCTTCATGTCTCTTCTTCATCAACATGTGTCCCCTCTTCTTCATGTCTCTTCTTCATCAACATGTGTCCCCTCTTCTTCATGTCTCTTCTTCATCAACATGTGTCCCCTCTTCTTCATGTCTCTTCTACATCAACATGTGTCCCCTCTTCTTCATGTCTCTTCTACATCAACATGTGTCCCCTCTTCTTCATGTCTCTTCTACATCAACATGTGTCCCCTCTTCTTCATGTCTCTTCTTCATCAACATGTGTCCCCTCTTCTACATCAACATGTGTCCCCTCTTCTTCATGTCTCTTCTACATCAACATGTGTCCCCTCTTCTTCATGTCTCTTCTTCATCACCATGTGTCCCCTCTTCTTCATGTCTCTTCTTCATCAACATGTGTCCCCTCTTCTTCATGTCTCTTCTACATCATGTGTCCCCTCTTCTTCATGTCTCTTCTACATCAACATGTGTCCCCTCTTCTTCATGTCTCTTCTACATCAACATGTGTCCCCTCTTCTTCATGTCTCTTCTACATCAACATGTGTCCCCTCTTCTTCATGTCTCTTCTCCATCAACATGTGTCCCCTCTTCTTCATGTCTCTTCTCCATCAACATGTGTCCCCTCTTCTTCATGTCTCTTCTTCATCAACATGTGTCCCCTCTTCTTCATGTCTCTTCTACATCAACATGTGTCCCCTCTTCTTCATGTCTCTTCTACATCAACATGTGTCCCCTCTTCTTCATGTCTCTTCTTCATCAACATGTGTCCCCTCTTCTACATCAACATGTGTCCCCTCTTCTTCATGTCTCTTCTACATCAACATGTGTCCCCTCTTCTTCATGTCTCTTCTTCATCAACATGTGTCCCCTCTTCTACATCAACATGTGTCCCCTCTTCTTCATGTCTCTTCTACATCAACATGTGTCCCCTCTTCTTCATGTCTCTTCTCCATCAACATGTGTCCCCTCTTCTTCATGTCTCTTCTTCATCAACATGTGTCCCCTCTTCTTCATGTCTCTTCTACATCAACATGTGTCCCCTCTTCTTCATGTCTCTTCTACATCAACATGTGTCCCCTCTTCTTCATGTCTCTTCTCCATCAACATGTGTCCCCTCTTCTTCATGTCTCTTCTACATCAACATGTGTCCCCTCTTCTTCATGTCTCTTCTCCATCAACATGTGTCCCCTCTTCTTCATGTCTCTTCTACATCAACATGTGTCCCCTCTTCTTCATGTCTCTTCTACATCAACATGTGTCCCCTCTTCTTCATGTCTCTTCTACATCAACATGTGTCCCCTCTTCTTCATGTCTCTTCTCCATCAACATGTGTCCCCTCTTCTTCATGTCTCTTCTCCATCAACATGTGTCCCCTCTTCTTCATGTCTCTTCTTCATCAACATGTGTCCCCTCTTCTTCATGTCTCTTCTTCATCAACATGTGTCCCCTCTTCTTCATGTCTCTTCTACATCAACATGTGTCCCCTCTTCTTCATGTCTCTTCTACATCAACATGTGTCCCCTCTTCTTCATGTCTCTTCTTCATCAACATGTGTCCCCTCTTCTACATCAACATGTGTCCCCTCTTCTTCATGTCTCTTCTACATCAACATGTGTCCCCTCTTCTTCATGTCTCTTCTTCATCAACATGTGTCCCCTCTTCTACATCAACATGTGTCCCCTCTTCTTCATGTCTCTTCTACATCAACATGTGTCCCCTCTTCTTCATGTCTCTTCTCCATCAACATGTGTCCCCTCTTCTTCATGTCTCTTCTTCATCAACATGTGTCCCCTCTTCTTCATGTCTCTTCTACATCAACATGTGTCCCCTCTTCTTCATGTCTCTTCTACATCAACATGTGTCCCCTCTTCTTCATGTCTCTTCTACATCAACATGTGTCCCCTCTTCTTCATGTCTCTTCTTCATCAACATGTGTCCCCTCTTCTACATCAACATGTGTCCCCTCTTCTTCATGTCTCTTCTTCATCAACATGTGTCCCCTCTTCTTCATATCTCTTCTACATCATGTGTCCCCTCTTCTTCATGTCTCTTCTACATCAACATGTGTCCCCTCTTCTTCATGTCTCTTCTTCATCAACATGTGTCCCCTCTTCTTCATGTCTCTTCTACATCAACATGTGTCCCCTCTTCTTCATGTCTCTTCTACATCAACATGTGTCCCCTCTTCTTCATGTCTCTTCTACATCAACATGTGTCCCCTCTTCTTCATGTCTCTTCTACATCCACATGTGTCCCCTCTTCTTCATGTCTCTTCTACATCAACATGTGTCCCCTCTTCTTCATGTCTCTTCTACATCAACATGTGTCCCCTCTTCTTCATGTCTCTTCTCCATCAACATGTGTCCCCTCTTCTTCATGTCTCTTCTTCATCAACATGTGTCCCCTCTTCTTCATGTCTCTTCTACATCAACATGTGTCCCCTCTTCTTCATCAACATGTGTCCCCTCTTCTTCATGTCTCTTCTTCATCAACATGTGTCCCCTCTTCTTCATGTCTCTTCTTCATCAACATGTGTCCCCTCTTCTTCATGTCTCTTCTACATCAACATGTGTCCCCTCTTCTTCATGTCTCTTCTTCATCAACATGTGTCCCCTCTTCTTCATGTCTCTTCTACATCAACATGTGTCCCCTCTTCTTCATGTCTCTTCTACATCAACATGTGTCCCCTCTTCTTCATGTCTCTTCTACATCAACATGTGTCCCCTCTTCTTCATGTCTCTTCTTCATCAACATGTGTCCCCTCTTCTTCATCAACATGTGTCCCCTCTTCTTCATCAACATGTGTCCCCTCTGTGGAAAGAGACTCTGAAAGTTTCAGGATCAAAGATTCTCTCTCTTTTTGATCCATTTCTATAAAAACCTGTCTGAAAATGAGCTGATCAGATTTTGGCCACTTTATGATGTCATAACGATGTGTTGGCTTGGTAACCATTAGCAGGGTTCGTACGGGTGCTGGAAATCCTTGAAAATGCTTGAAATTGTACGAGGTGTTTTCAAGGTTTTAAAAGTGCTTGAATTTTGGGAATGGTGCTTGAATTTGGGACAAAGTGCTTGAAATTGTAAATGCTTTACTTCGCTTCGCTAACGTTGCATGTTACGTTTCTTTAAGCTAACGTTAGCAAGCTGAATAGCGAACTCGATGAGGGATAATAATAATTGCAGGGGACAATCATTTCAGAGGAGCGTACCTATGTTATGTGCGTTACAGTCGCTATCCTGTGGTGTTCAGAGGATGAAGCACTCACTGTTGTAATTCAACCCAGTCTCACAGCGTTTCGTGTTATTAAACTTGTTTCGGCAAATTCAGATGATAAATACAGCTTTGAAGCTTGTAACGGCATGATTACAAGCGGAGAACGGAGTAATTTAACGTCACAGCAGGCGTAACAACAGCCGGTGTTTCTCGTGAGTGTTTCCCCGGTACACAAACACAATACACACAAACGCAAAAATACACAAAGACACACACACACACACACACACACTCGCGAGCTTCCCCCAGACCAGTAATACAAACGAAAATGTGTCTGCGGGTCAATGTGACTGATTTTGATAGAGCAAGTCACATTTGGTTTAGGCACGAAACATACTACCAGTAGAAATACATTGCTTTTAAAATCGCCCTGTGTCGAATCAATAGATTATATTTCGTGACTATATCCTGAAAGCCAATACTTTGTTTATTTGAAAACAGATGAAAACAAACTGTCCCGGACCCTGTCGTGTTTATCTATGATTACTATACGCTAGAGATGTCCCAATCCGATCACGTGATCGGGGATCGGAGCCGATCACGTGATTTTCAAAAGATCGGAAATCGGGAGAAAAAAATCGGGGATCAGGATTTTTTTTTTTTTTTTTTTTATAAAATATTTTTCTTATTTTATTTAATGTTACAAAACAAAAATGACCATGTTCACGTCTTAAAGTCATCCTGAGGCCTTAGTTTAAAAAAATTACAAAACATCATGTATGTGTTGCTTCTTTCGGGCTTGTTTTCATAGACCTGGTTGCTTATTTCTCTCAAATCTGGCAACAGAGTGGGCGCAGTGTCTAATAGTAGCAGTAAGCTAACGAGAGGCTACGTTCAGCTGGTGACTCGGGAGTCG